TATATATAATAATTTTATTACTTACATTCATATGCCAAGAGAGGTCGCAGCACAGTGCTGCGTCCCTTGGCGCTGGCGCGCCTGGACGAGCAATTCTGCAGCTGTGGGGGCCCGACCAAGCTCCTTAGACTTTAGACATGAAAAAGTAGTAACAAAAATTAAATTGCATCATTTATTTTTCAGTGTTTGGCGAATCTTACTATCTTGTGGTAGTTCTCCGGGTGGGGGACTAAGCCTTCAATATGAAAAGCAATGCCCATGGCCCTCTCACTCCTTTTATTTTGCAGATTGGTATGTCTATTCCTTTGATACTTAGAAGTTGCGGTGTAAGTGAGTAAAGCTGACTCGTGAGTCCGCTTGATATGTAGCTCATGAACTGAGCTTGATGGGCTAACAAGCCACGCTCAAGGTAGCCCCAACTTGACTTGTTAACTCGTGAGCCGACCCGTTTAAAGAAATATCAATAAAAAATATGCTTGAAATATATTGAGTTTGAAGACGTTAACTTTAAAGCATTAAAAATGTTTACAAATCAATATTTTGTATTTTATATTAAGTGATTTCTTATAATTTCTCTTCTAATTGCTCATTCTATTTGTCATTTTATTATAACACTACATTAAATTAATATTATTTTTCTATTTTACAATAAACAAGCTGGCTCGAACTTGTAGACTTAAGCTCGAGCTCGTGCTCAAACTCGATAAGATTAATTAAGCTCAAGCTCAAGCCTTGGGTGGCACAAGCTCGACTCAACTGGTTTACACCTCTACTCGGGAGAGGTCTGTGCTCTTGTCAAATCAGCAGAAACCTCCTCCCCAACCCAGATTGGCTACTTCCCTTCCTCCAGGCTATGAAGAGCATATCATCGAACCAATGTCTGGTGTGAATCTAAAAAATCAGTCGGATCCATCAGTGATGCTTCGACAACCAATAGAAGGAGGTTTGCAAATTGAAAAGTTTGTAGTGTTGATTAATATGACAAAATAGCCTAAATTTAGAATTCTAATTCAGATGAAATGATTCTACCTCAAATTCTTAGAGCTACATGTATCTAGTATCCAGTAGGAACTGCTTCCTGGAGAGATACAAAGTATCATATCTGCTCTTAATGACATCTGTGATTTGTATCACGAGCAACCTAAGAGGAATGAGTCTGAAATACACATGATAGTCACACAAAATATTGAAATGAACATTGAACTACTTATAATGTTAAAGTAACTTACGAGTCCCTTTCTGATAAATTGTATAAGTGGTCGGAAGTATCCACCCTCAGAGGGGTGGCAGTAGAGGGGTCTGATGCATCGAAGGAGGGAGATAGTGGCTAAGTGGGAGCTGGTGCGAGAGTGGAAGCTAGTGGCCAAGTGGGAGCTGATGTGGGAGTGGGAGATGGTAGTTGAGTAAGAGTTGGTGCGGTAGTGGGAGGAATAACCAATGCGAGTGGGGCTACAACAATATGAGTTGGTGGTCATAATGGAGCAACAATAATGGATTGAGCACTAATAGATGGTGCAGGAGGGGTTGTAGCGGTGGTGGTGCTCATAAACAACATGGCACTGGTGTTGTCTGTGGAAGAGTGGGTCACAGACAACTTGTCCTCCCTTCTAAATGATGTAGTGCTCTGTGGTCTATGAGGTTGCCGATCACCCACACTGCCTAAAGTCACCTGTAACAGAAAAAGATATTAATAAATTAGTACTAAGCAACAAATGTAAGAAAAATAAAAGTAAGTAGGAGAAATAAATATTAAGTAGCAAAATTACATGCAGAAAGGTGCACAACTAAAATAGGAAACATGACGTAAAAATAGGAAAGCACGGAACAAACAATGTGAAACATGGAAAGCTAATACTGCAAAAGATAAGACCAGAAAGAAACTAAAATACAATCATAGATGTCATTTTTAGTCTAATTGATTAGATGAGTTAGTTGATTAAAAACTTTAAATTTCTTATTCAATAATATCATCATCATCATCATCCATATTTTGAGAAACCTCTTCATAATTCCCTAGATGTTGCAACTGCACTACTTCTTCAAGTATGTCATAATACTTGATCTCAATATTTAAGCGTAAATTGCCTTTAACACAAACACCATAAATATATATCTTGTTTCATTCATACCATGAACTCATATGAAATCTATAACTATTCACATCAATTGTTTGTCATGTTGTGACACTATGATTAGGCACCCCGATAAGATCTAATAAGCTCTGATTCTTAATTCTATTGCTTTAATTATGAACCTATAAGAATTTCCAGTGTATAATCATATTTTACTTTGATTGTGAAAATTATTTTACAAGTTTGTCAATTGAAAAGTTACTTCAATGTACTTATAATTAAAAAGTTACTTCAATTGAAAAAAATCATATTACTAGAAATTTTACTGTATAAATGGTTAGACTTCATTACAGTTCTGTAGAATTTATAAGGCATATGTTTGAATCTCTTTTTCATTGAGATAGCATTTATCATGTCATCATGATGGTTCCTCTGATATCTAAAATAAAGATAATTTTGATTGTGAAGGCATATCACCAACCGTTCGATCTATGTATTGTCCTTGCTTAAAATATTAGGGATAGAAAGTAGTAATCTTCTGTAAAATGTATGCCTCGCATATAGAGTCCACTAAATGTTATTTATTTTTAACAGTTAAATTTATTCAACAATTTACAACATGAGGATTTTTTTAATAATATGGAAGTAAATTAGTCTAAAATAAAATGTAATGTGTGATTGTATGCATCGAGAAGGCATACCTCTCAGGTCGAATATCTTCCTTATTCCCAAGTCAACGCAATGGCTTAAGTTTTAAACACAACCAATAGGAAAGTTCAGAGAATGCATCCACTTAAAAATTGTTCTTTGTTGATCCAATGTGAGATTATGCAGCTTTGGGTTTTATTACTTTACCTGCCTTTGTCTCCTGGAGTTCTAACCCCCTCCTCTTGTGATACTCTTTCAAGTTGAATCTTGGTATTACATTATCTTTTATTTTATCCTTGATATCCATCGTAGTATTGAAGATATTAACAAGAAAATTCTTCTCAGCATGTATAACATCGAGATTATATATAATCAAATTGATCCTCCAGTATGAATGATCCAAGAAAATACTTTACTTCTTCCAATCATGTGTAACACTGAAGTCTGGAAAAAGATTTGACGCTAGTTTTGGCTTCTCAGTGATCTTTGGTATTTCATTGATCATTTGGCATAAATCGGCTCTAGTTACCCTTGGGGGGACTTCATCTTTCAACTCTATTTCTAAAAAAATGCAATTAATAGTACAAATAAGGTTGTAGTGCGTGGGATTAGAATTTTAGGGCATCAATGTCAGATTATTGTCAATATTTCGATACAGATTCATTAGCATCAGAAACACCGTCTGAGTATTCGACGCTATTAAGTTATTATATTGCGTTGAAAATTTATTTACACAAACTTCAACCTAAATAGTTTGTGTTGATGGATTGTTGATCCATACTATTTGCGTTGACATTGACGGTGTTCAACGCACAAACCGTCTGAAATCTTTTACAATAAAAAACAAACGCAAATCTAACACTAAAGTATATATTGTGATTATTTTATTTTAACAATTGGTGTTAGATTCATAAATACATAAGAATTGGGCAGTATGTATGTAAATATCCCAAACATTAATCAGTCAAATAAATATTAAGTAGCAAAATTACATGCAGAAAGGTGCAAAACTAAAATAGGAAACATGACGTAAAAATAAGAAAACACAGAACAAACGATGTGAAACATGGAAAGCTAATATTGCAAAAGATAAGACCAGAAAGAAACTAAAATCTAATCATAGATATCATTGTTAGTCTATTTCATTAGAAGAGTTAGTTGACTAAGAACTTTAAATTTCTTCTTCAATAATATCATCATCATCATCCATATTCTGAGAAACCTCTTCATAATTCCCCAGATATTGCAACTGCACTACTTCTTCAAGTATGCCATAATACCTGATCTCACTATTTGAGCGGGAATTGCCTTTAACACAAACACCACAAATGTATATCTTCTTTCACTCATACCATGAACTCATATGAAATATATAACCATTCACAGCAATTGTTTGTCATGTTGTGACACTGTGATTAGGCACCTTGATAAGATCTAATAAGCCCTTATTAGTACTTCTATTGCTTTAATTATGAACCTATAAGAATTTCTAGTGTATAATCAATTTTTACTTTGATTGTGAAAATTATTTTACTTGTTTGTCGATTGAAAAGTTACTTCAATGTACTTATACGTGAAAAGTTACTTCAATTGAAAAAAATCATATTACTAGAAATTTTATTGTATAAATGGTTGGACTTCATTACAGTTATGTAGAACTTATAAGGTAGTTGTTCGAATCTCTTTATCACTAAGATAGTATTTATCATGTCTCCATGATGGTTCGTCTGATATATAAATAAAGATAATTTTGGTTGTGAATGCTCAAAATATTAGGAATAGAAAGTAATAGTCTTCTGTAAAATATATGCCTCGCATATAGAGTCCTCTAAATGTTATTTATTTTTAACAGTTGGTTAAATTTATTCAACAATCTGCAACATGAGGATTTTTTTTGAATAATATGGAAGCAAATTAGTTAAAAATAAAATGTAACGTGTGACTGTATTCATCGAGAAGACATACCTCTCAGGTCAAATATCTTCCACGTTCCCAAGTCAACACAGTGGGTTAAGTTTTACACACAACCAATAGGAAAGTTCAGAGAATGCATTCACTTAAAAATTGTTCTTTGTTAATCCAATGTGAGATTATATAGTTTTGGGTTTTATTATTTTACCTGCCTTTGTATCTTGCAGTTCTAACCCTGTCCTCTTGTGATACTCTTTCAAGTTGAATCTTGGTTTTACGTTATCTTTTATTTTATCCTTGATATCCATTGCAATATTGAAGATATTATCAAGAAAATTCTTCTCAACAAGTATAACATCGAGATTATGTATAATCAGATTGATCCTTCAGTATGAATGATCCAAGAAAATACTTTACTTCTTCCAATCATGTGTAACACTGAAGTCTGGAAAAAGATTTGACGCTAGTTTTGGCTTGACACTAGTTTTGGCTTCTCAGTGATCTTTGGTATTTCATTGATCATTTGCCATAAATCGGCTCTAGTTACCCTTAGGGGGACTTCATCTTTCAACTATATTTCTAAAAAAAAGGCAATTAAAAGTACAAATGAGGCTGTAGTGCGCGGGATTAGAATTTTAGGACATCAATGTCAGATTGTTGTCGATATTTCGATGCAGATTCATTAGCATCGGAAACACTGTCCGAGTCTTCGACGCTATTAAGTTATTATATTGTGTTGACAATTTATTTACGCAAACTTCAATCCAAATAGTTTGCATTGATGGATTCTTGATGCATACAATTTGCGTTGACATTGACGGTATTCGACGCACAAACCATCTGTAATCTTTTACAATAAAAAAATAAACGCAAATCCAACGCTGAAATATATATTGTGATAATTTTATTTTAACAATTGGTGTTAGATTCATAAATACATAAGAATTGGGCGGTATGTATTTAAATATCCCAAACATTAATCAGCCCAGCAAACTACCAGTTTTTTGTTGAAGAAAGAATGCAAAGAACGCAATCACAAAAATGAGGGTAAGCAAACATGATATGCAGAATGATTCGGTCAAATTTTACATGACAGAAACTGCTTTTTTCTTCACAAGTGCACAAATTTCATATTGCAAGATAAGTCGTCTCTTTATAATGGTTAGGACTTACCAACTCCCCTCATTTGGTCTTTCAGCATGCCAAAAATAAACATTAATTCATCTTTATGAACCAAAAAATAAATACATAACAAACAATTGGTCGACCCTCACATAATGCAAGAAATGTGAGTTTCAAACAACAATAAATGCAAATGCAAAAGTTTCTTTTATGAATATTGAAAAATAATTAAAATTTGTAATCTAAATTTCAGATGTGATTCGCATATATTCTCCAAATTGGGGCAGCTTAGTAGGAAATTATCAACAACAGAAAAATACAGGAACAGCAAGCTATGAACACTCCTTAGTGAAGGACAGAGCAAGTTGCCCAAGATATCTTGATAGATGCTTATGAGCAAATAATATTGAACCTTCGGGACAAAAATAATGGTTGTTTGATGTGACATAGTTACTTTCCCAATAAACACTAAACCCTTTGTATCCTAAGCTAGGTTCTAACTAAGTCTTATCATCACTACAGGATTGAAACAAATTAGCGTCGGCTAAATCTGATGTTAATATGACAATAATCCGATGCAAAAAAAATTTAGATGCGGATTTACATCGGACATATGGTCCACACAAAAATGGAGGTCAAAAATGCATGTAGCGTTCTAACATATACAGCTTGCGTTGACATTAGCGTCAAACATTGTTGACGTTAATAAGCTTGGACGCGACCCAAGCTAACGCAAAAGTTAACTACGATATTTGTGTTTACTTTTTGGTGGACACAAACTTGTGTCATTATTTGCTTCCACTGTTTCTGTCGATGAGATTGATTAGCATCGAAATGTGTCGAAAAGCATCGAAATGTTTTGAAGAAATTAGCATCAGTAATATCCAACGGAAAACTAGAGCAAATTTTAAGAAAA